TACTTTTCCTTGCACTTTCCATAAAGGTGAATGCTTTCAATACTAATTAAAGCATAACAATATTAAAACTAGTGAATTGAAAGTTTAAATGCCAAAGATACTCTTTTAAAATTACTTTGTTATTATCAACCGCATGATTTCATTCAATAATTGTACATAGATTTGATTCTTAGAGATTTAATAATATTCTATATAGCATTTAAAAAGGCTCATCTGCTTGCACCTTATAATATGAGATATAATGCTTATTATCCCTACATATAGTAGATTTAATACTTGTAACTTGCATACTTATTTTAGTCTTTACAATTGTCAATATAACCTAAGCAATAAGATCTAAGTCAATCTAATGGTGGCCTAAGCAAAACTAATGGGTTTTGACATATACATGACCTTTTTAATTTTGAGATCTTAAATGAGTATAATCTCTAATGATACCCCTTATGTAAATACCATTAACAAGCTTGTTTATGAATATACCACGACTACATATAACTTTTGGTTGGTTGAACATTGCACCTTATATTGTAATGAATTTTTAATATGTCACTACTCAAATGTAGTAATAAATTTAGACTTATCTCTAATTTTTTATTCAACCTCTAATTCATCACCTAATAAGTTTAAATTTATATAACTTAAAGCCTAATTATTAAATGAAATTTAGGCATAACCACTCATATCCTTAAATTTAGAAATAAGAAGTCTTATAAATTAGTTTAAGTGGCTCAACTAACTCATCTTCCTCAACTAGACAAATATGATGATTATCTTTGTCATCACCTTTTGTTTGGATTCTTTATAACAATATAGAGTAGATTTCATACCCAACTAAACTTCCCACAATGTCTAGTGTCGATAATAAGTTCATTGTATCACTATAACAACATTTTAGACTAGTTGCTCATGATGTTTGTTTGCTTTTATGAGGGTGACTTAGGACATGAATAAACTTTATACTATATGATTTTTCTTGTCTAGGTTTACTACTCAGATAAAGCTTTAAAATTTACAGTCTATTTTTTATGGTCAACTCAAAAATTGAACTCATTGTTATCACTAGAAATGGATACATTGATATAACAAATTAGGAGCACCCTGTCTTACATCCTCCAAGTAATGTCAACTTTAATTTCAAATAAATTATACCCAGTCCAATCACATATAATTTTTTTTTTAATTTGATGAGAGATATATCTAATGCAGCAAATAGAAACTCATTACCTCATTTATTATAAGTGATATTATTGTCGGTATTAATAATAGTACCATTATAAAAGCACAACAATCTAATACTATGAGATCTTCCATGAAACGAACATAACAAAACTCAACCCTAATTTATTAATATTACAAATTAATCAAGGTAAATAATTTCAACAAAACTTTAGTCAATAAAACCCTAAACCCTAACATAATCAACAAAACTCTAATTCATCATATTTCTCCCAAATAACATAATTTATTAACTCAATTTGTGTAATTTAAAGCTAATTAACAAAGTATATAGTTAATTCAACAAAACTTTAAACTACAATAAAAATCTTACCCCTAATATAATCACTAAAAACCTAATTCATCATTTTTCTCCCTAAATAACATAATTTATCAACTCAAATGATGTGTTTTATAGGTAATTAACATAATTTGTACCTAATTCAACAAAATCTTAAATTAAAAAAAAAACTCTAACCCTATACCCTAACATGATTAAAATAAAAGTCAACATAAAAAAATATTAAATTAATATAGGGTAATAATCTTGAATTGTTAAAAGTGGGTAGTGGTGGTGTAATGTGATTGTGATAGCCAAATTTGTGCAAAACCAAGCGGGTGAGAGAATAAAGAGATTGTCGTGGTTAAGAGAGAAAAGGGTTGGTTTATTAACGGCAGTAGTGGTGGTGGAAGGAGAGGAGGAAGAAAAGAGAAATGAGAGGAAAAATAAAAAAGAAGGGGGGTGAAAAGGACTTCTGGTGTTTTAATCGACTAGAATAGTATGTAATGTATGCGTCTTGTGAGTCACAAATGACATGTGTAACTCGCAAATCATAGATATTGCAAGCAACACTCGAGTTGTAAATGTTATATACAACTCACTAAATTATTTTATTTTATTTTTCTTATTTTTTAATTTTTATCGTGCTACTTTGAAAATAAAAATTATTATTTGACTAGTCATTACTAGATAATTGTCTTACATTATATTGCAGGTTAGACAAAAAAATTTTGAATAAAAAAAAGTCTAGGCTTCAAAAAACTCTTTAATAGTATTATTATACTTAGCTAGCAATTCAACGTTAAAATCTTTAGACTTGATTATTGGCTAGCCTTGATATCAAATTAAATTATCTAAGAGTTGCTCCGAAGCAATATAGTTGACTTAGAGGATCTAAAGATAATTTGGATGACAAATAAAAATATGATTTGTCTTTTAAAATATCAAGATGATATTTTTAAAAAAACATATTGAGACAATTAACATATTAGATTGACCCAAATCAACTCAAATTAACCTTCTAAATTTACGACTTGGGTTATGAACTTCACTGATTTTAATAAATTTGTTTTATCTTGTTAAACTATTTTTATATAATTATATGATAAAAAATAGTATCTCAAAAAATCAAGCATTAATATAATACTAAGATATTTGTTTAAGACTATGATGATCTCATAGAAAGCAAACCATAATAAATTATGAAACTTAATTGTTAACATATTTTTCTTAATTGAAAAACAAAATGATGATATTTATGCTTTATTAAATAAATTTAAAAATATATAAACTAATATATAAAAAATAATTTTTAACACAAATCAAAAATAAAAGTAAAAATTTAATTTTTATAGTTAAAATAAAATACAGATGCACTTACAAGTTTTTATGTAACTAAATTTTTTTTATTTTAAATATTTTCATTCATTTTATTTGAACAACTAATCATTGTTGTGAATAACAAATGGTTTTTATTTTTATAAAAATGACTTACAAATACAACTAATTTGTATAAAATGTAAGAGGAAAACAATTCAATAAAAATCAAATTAATCTCTTTAAAATATCATAAAACTAAAAGAATAGAGAGAAATCAAATAAATAAATTAAAAATATATAAAATAATAAATCAAAAGGAGTTGTTGACACTAATTAAATATCAATGCAAGAAGTTGATTTTTAGAGTTGAAATAAAATATAGACATACATATAATGTTTTTCCATCCGCTAACCTTGTTATTTTAAATTTTTTCCTTCATTTTATTTTTGTGACTAATTGTTGTTTCTGCTCATAACAAATGATTTTTATTTTTATAAAATAATTATATAAATATGGATAATTCATATAAAATATAAGAGAAAAGAAATTCAAAAAAAAATAAAAGTAATCTCTACAAAATATCATACAACTATATATATA